AGGGGGCGAGGCCTGAGCGGCTTGCAGGTGCCGGGCCTCGCCAATCTCCCCCCCGCCTCCTCCCCCCAGCTCCGAAGCAAGGCCCGAGCAGCTTGTAGCTGCCCTCCCGTCCGCTGTGGCAGCGGCAAGACAGTTCGCAGAGCGTTCTCTGCGCATGCGCCTGGGACACTCTTTTACTTTTGGGGGGATTTAAATATCCCCCCGATGTTTTTTTCACCTTTTTAGATTTTTGTGCACACCTGGGGACTGCCCCAAGTGTGCAGGAAAATCTCCCTGCCCCCCCCCAGGTGCCCCAATGTGCGGATTTAGATATCCGCACGCGGGGGGCGCCTTCGCTATTAGTATATAGATAAATGTTAGGAGCTGGGAGACACACGTTCAAATCCCCACTGTGCCATAGAAGCTTGTTGGGTGAGCTTGGGCCAGCCTAACCTACTTTGCAGGGTTGTCACAAGGATAAAATGAAGGAGGGGAGGATATTGTAAGCCACTTCCGGTCTCCATTGGGGAGCAAAGATGGGTACAAATGAAGTAAAATAAATACATTTTTATCTAGGCCTGTACATTCCATGACCTTTTAAGAAGACGCAGGCCAGGGGAGGGGGCTGTATTAAGTTCTTTCTGGTGCCAAACAGTCTCCTCTCCTTGTTTTTTATTTATTATTCACGTTAATTATAGTCCGCCTTTCTCGCTTGGTCCAAAGGCAAGCTGCTCAGCATGAGTCCGTACAATCAACAAAATGGGACATTCAGTAAACCATGCAGCAGGATTAGGATTGTAGAACCGACCGGTAGTCTAAAAACAGAACTGGGGCAAAGCATAAGTATTAACGTGACACGTGCAATGACCGTAGGATCCTAGTTTCAGCAAGCTGTACACGGTAGTATAGACCACAGGCCCTAATAATTTTCCCAATTAACTTTGTGTATCATTTTGTACAGTGCAACTCTGTTGCCCTTTTTTGCTGCTCCAGTCCAGCAGCTAAGCTCAGGAAGCTTCCAAGGAAGGCCTAGTGGGGAAAGGATGTCTTTGGTTTAGTCACCTCCAAGAACCGTAGTTAAACAGCTGTAGGTTTGTGGTGCTGGGGAAACTCAGGCTCAGAAATAGTTTCTCTGTGAGAACAAAGCAGTGAGTAGTTTTTATTGCAGTTGTTCAGAGCAAAAAAAAAGGAATTCCCTCTGGCCCACCAAGTTGCTGAGGGTGCCTCAAAGTGGGACATGCTCTTCTATGGTGGTCTGTCTATCTCTCCTGTCGACCACACGAATAGACGCTTGGTCATAAACTAATCCATCCCCATTCCTCACTGTCTGCACCACAAACCACTCTGACTGTTTTACTGCATAGATTCAGGTGGGGTAGCCTCTGAAGCAGCAGGACAAAGTTTGAGTCCAGTGGCACCTCTAAGACCAACAAAGTTTTGTTCCAAGGTATAAGCTTCATTTCACAAGGTGTAAGACAAAGTTTTGTTCCAAGGTATAAGCTTCACTTCACTTCACACTTTGGTGTGCCTGCACACAGAAGCTTATGCCTTCAATAAAACTAGATTTAGGCGGGTAGTCATGTTGGTCTGAAGCAGCGCGGCAAAGCAGAACAAAGATACAGAAGAAGAGATTGGATTTATACCCCACCCTTCACTTGGAGTCTCAGAGCGGCTTACAAACTCCTTCCCCTCCCCCTCCCCACAACAGACACCCTGTGAGGTAGGCGGGGCTAAGAGAGCTCTGAGAGAAGCTGCTCTTTTTCAAGAACAGCTGTGCCAGAACTATGGCTTGCCCAAGGTCATCCGGCAGGTGCAAGTGGAGGAGTGGGGAATAAAACCCGGTTCTCCCATGCCCTTAACCACTACACCAAACTGGCTCAGATTGTATCTGAAAAAGTGTGCGTACACACAAATGCTTAAACCTTGAATAAAACTTGGTTGGTCATAAAGGTGCCACTGGACT